TTATTAAAAAAAAAAAAAAAAAAAAAAAAAAAGACAGAGAGAGTGAGCTATTGCTATCATTTTATGAACTCAGCAGGTATAATCAATCCAGGTTCTGTCTGTGATGAGCAAGGAAGAGCTGCATAGGTAAAACCAGTGCTGAAAATCATGGCGAATTTTGTTAAGGGCAATTCTTTGTAGACCAAAGAAACATGGTGTCAGGGTGACATGAAAGCAAAAGCATGGCACACAAAACATAGCACACCAATGGCTGTACCAAGCTAAGTCAAGCTTATCGAATTTAAAGACTATGAATCTCAACCCAAGTGAATCCTCTGAATCCACAAGCGTGACTGCAGGAATGACTGGAATGGTGTTGATACATCTCTCGTTCTCAACACACATTTTTGTACCATGATTCATTCTGATCTAAACTCCATGCATATATAATAGCTATTCATGAATGCTTAGGAATGCTGGAGTAGGATAAAGGTGACAGAAGAGGAGTGTGGTAGAAAGCCTACAGCACACACGCCACAGTGGTCACGCAGAGCCCTCTAGTCCACACTGGAGCTAAATGTAGGAGTTATTTTTTGTAAACAAAAACTGACAAGTCACCCAAGTCAGACTCTGGCCCAAGGCAGACCCACTACCCACAACCACAAGAGCAGAGATGCAAGAAGCCAGCAGTTGCCCTAGTATCATTCCTAGTATAGCTTCTTCAGATGATAAACAAATGAGCTTTGGAGTTACAGTTTGAGCATTCACCCTCTACGATATTCACCATCACTCAGCCAGAGATCCACCAAGCATGTGCTCTCACCTACAGCATCTGAGATCTAACTTGGCTTCTGTTAGGTGATTTTCTATATTCTCAGGACAACAGGAGGAAGAATGGCATCTGGATACTGTTTTAACTTAAATGAGAATGCAAAGAGTGTGACTTTTTGAAATGGAGTTTGTTAGATCATCTGGAGAAGCTATACTAGGAATGCTACTTGACCACATTCATTCTATGGGTTAGAAGATATGGAGCAGAAGAGACAGTGAGAACAGAAGAAGGTCCCTCAGCTGTACAAACTATAATTTTACTTGTATTTCAACTAATGAACAACTCTTATTTTCTTGCTGGTAGTAGTGTTTTACTCAGGGTCAGACTACCCTAAATTCAGGTCAGCCAATCCTAAATTTATTTAGCACGTTTATTGTTATCTCAAGCATTCCTTCCCCCAAAAGCCCCAATAAGAAAGCTGAACTGTGCTTTCCTCTTGTCATTCACTTGTTATCACTATTTTTTCCCCAAACAGCCATATACATACAGTATGTTTTGCACCTCACATAAGTTTCTGGAGGCCCATGAATATAAATTTCCTTCATGACAATTACTTCCTGTATCTTACAATATCAACTAAAACAAATCCCAGTACATTTTAGCAGACATAAAATGCTAGTTAATGGCAATTCTCTACTTAAAAATGTTTATTGGTTTCCTGCTACTCCAAATAAAATTCAACTTTTCTTGGTTTACAATACCTATTTTAAGATGTGGCATGTTGAGCCAGATGGTGCACACTTGTAATCCCTGCACTTGGGAGGCTGAGGAAGAAAGATGTTTTTAAGTTCAAGGCCAGCCTAGACTATATAGTGAGTTCAAGGCTAACTTGAACATACATAGTCAGATGATCTCAAAAAATAAAAAAGAATGAACAAAATGTGATGCCAACTTTTTCCTCACTTCTTATCCCTTTACTTTCCTTCCATCACTTCCTCCCAACCTTCTTGTGGTCTCTCACTAATCAGCTAAAGACACATCTCTTTAATAAGATCTGGTTCTGAATTTCTTCTACCAAAATGTCTTTCTGTATCATCTAGTCCTCACTTTTCTCCAACACACACACACACACACACACACACACACACACTCTCTACTTGAAATTTCCTTCCTCTCATAACAGGTACTTAAAATGAACTTTAACTTTTTTCTCTCTCTCTCTCAAGATAAGGAGCTTCCTAAAGCCTAGGAATAAACAACTCCCCCAACCTCTTCTCAGCCCAAAATGAACAAAATATGCCAATTCTAATAACATCAGAAAGGCTGGAGCCCAAAAAGGGCACAATGAACTAAGAATGGTTGGAAGAGATAAAGTGAGTGTGAAAATCAGCATTGCCTGTTGTCCCCAACTGTGACCAGGTAAGATCTGATCTGACTAAGGTAAATAGGAATCTCCATCTTCTTGGACCTAGCTTGTCATAAGTCCTTTTTTTTTTTTT